TGTATGTAACGAAAGATGAGTTATTCAATAAACCTTAATTTCTTCAAAAATCAAGGAGATACATTAGGTTATTAACTCACATACATTAATTAAGACATTATATAAATGATACGATTTTAATATTGTATACTAACTGTCTTTCTTATTTAGAAAAAAACTTTATTATTAACATAATATATAATCTGTATATACAGAATGTCCTGCGAAATTTCTCCAACCGCCCACAGGAAGATAGATGGGATAGAAATAAACATAAAAATCCTTTTAGCGATATTCGTATAATAATAATCGAGGTATTAATGTTTGCAATTATAATGGGAGCGCGTCGATAGAAACGCTTCGGCCGCTCGAAATAGCAACGCGCTGTATACTTTGAGCCACTTCATCTCTAGCGACTTCATCTCTCTTTTCACGTTCCAAATTTGTTCAACTCGAGTAATATACTTTGACTTACTTTTTCCCTCACTACTCCGGGTTCTTTAGAATTGGTAGAGTTGAGTTTTGGAACGCATTGAAAAACTCATTGAAAAACTCATTGAAAAAAATATAAAATTGTAATCTTTAGACTGCGTTTGGAAATATTACTCGAGTGCATCCGGGTGTATTGTTTCCTTATTTAACATTCGGTGAATATAATAACAAGGATAAAATGACATAAAATGACACGCGGGGGCATTCGAGTGATATTTCCGAACGCAGCCTTATTGTGACTGGCGTACATACATTATACATACACCAGTGCGTCTGATTGAATTCGCTATTAGTTGTTTATGATTGAAAACATAAAATTTTCATAATTATTTTTTGTATAACTAAAAAGTTAAATATGAATCTAACAAAGATTTTTAGTTGTTTGAGAGGCGCAAAATGTGCTCTCACTAGACGAGTGCACGTGTCATTATTCGGTAATGTAAATACACAAGTAAGATGTAAGAATAGTGAAGTTAAACTGGGGAGGCCTATGGCTATTGAGACAAATAGATATCGAAAATTGGAGGAAAAAATTGGTCTATATGGATACTCCTTACTGGCAAGTAATGTTACCATCTGCTATTCTAAAATTCTATTTATATTATAATAAAATATTTGTTTGAAGTCTCTCATCTCAAATCTTAATAAAATAATATACTAACTTTGACGTGTTTCAACTTAAAACGAAAGAATCCGACAAAAAACGCGGTGATTTGCCTCGTAAAAACGAGTTATTAAGTATTAAAGTTCGAGATTTTAGAGGTTAAGATATCTGTCATATTCTGACTCGATAGAGCGCTACGGCCTAGCTAGTTTAAATCGTGCATTTAAGGCTCGATGGATTGGACCAATTATTTTGATTTTATGCGAAGCTTAAAAATCTTTTTTTTTAAATTGATAAAAAGGGAGAGAATTTTAAGCTTTGCTTAAAATTAATGTTGGTGCAATTAGTTTTTAATTCGAGTACTAAACGGTAATTTTCTATAGAACTATCTTAATTTCAGTGACACGTGTAAACATATACATAATTTGTATTTAATTAATCATTTTAATGCATTTTTAATTAATCATTTAATGCATTATTGTATCAACTTAGTACAATATTCTTTAAATATAGTGCTAAAAATTCAGATAATTTAATGGAAAGTTGCTAGTTAATATGCATATCAAGTGCTCGATATAAACAGTATAAATTGTGGTTGTGTTCGAAAATTTACTGATCATGTTTACACCAAACTCTTAATACATGTACTAATCAATAACTTTCTATTAAATCTTAATTTCGGAAGTACCTATAAACATACATAATATGACTATTTAATTAATCATTTATGGATGCATATTATATCAGCTTAGTACAGCTTCTTTAAATGTATTGCTGAAATTAATTTAATAGAAAGTTATTTGTTAGTATGCATATCAAGTGCTCTATGTAAAGTAGAACATTGTCAGTATTGAAAATCTATAGTTTATGTTATATACACTATAGCTTTTCAATACATGCAAATTTTGAAACACAGCCTGTAAAAAGAAATCTAGGATAATATTCAGTCAAATTTTATATTTAAGATCATTTTAAATACATTCTTAAGATATCAGGAACTAATCAGAGAACCGTATTAATATCTTAAGACAATACTTAAGCCAATCTAAATAAGAACTATAAATACTATCTTTTGACTGGTATTCATAGTTCTTATATTCAAGACCATCTTAAGTTCAATCTTGAGATTGAAGAGAAGAGAATGTTTTTAAGTTGTTGATAAGTTCTCTGAATCAGATGAGACTCAATGCTTGATATATTAATAGCTTAAAAACGTTTCGATCATTGTACCAGAGGAAGTGCAATACTACATCACTACACTTAGCTGACTATGTAATTCCAATTCATTAATATTTCGATTTACGTGAGAGCATTGCTAAGAATCAGAATTGGATCGACACATTTGTGTAATTATTTTAAATAAATCAAATTTCACACTGATATCTTGGCTCTAATGGGCATTATTTTATTATATTGAAATGAATTAAAGATGTTACTATTCTCGACTTTTTTTTTGTAATTTAAAAAATCTGTATTATTGACATCAATCAAGTTTGATCGTCAGTCTAGTATTTCCTTAAGCCCATATCAGACACATTGAATCACATTGAATTTTTATTGTGATTGGTCTATTATTGGTCAGCAGTTAGAGTTGGCAGTCGGGTCGACTTACAGAGTCGGTAGTTTGATACAGGCTTGAAGGGGAGGTCCTAGGCCGGTATTCATAGTTAGTTCTTATATTCAGTCTTAAGATGTCACAAATCAATCAAAGAGCTGCATTAGCATTAATACGTTACTTAAGGCCTTCCTGACTACTTAGCCAAAACCGCTGCGTTGGTGACACCGAATTAGATGGTGGCAAAATCGATAGTCACATATTTAAGTACGAACCTAAATCCGGGTACTCGCTTTGCCGAGAATGAACGAGATAGCGAATTCCTTCTTAGACTAGTCGCTTGTTTCAAGCGACCAAAAATGCTTTCTCGGCAATCTTGATTTGATGGTCCTAGGCATCAATAAGGAGGGCATTCTAAATAACATAAGTTTTTAATAAAATAAAATAATAGTATACCCCTCCCATTAATCCAGAATAGTATAAATCATAAAAATAGCATATCTCGAGAGCTTTTCAAAACACTATAATAAAATATTTTTTCTTCTAAAATACTTTTTGAGTTATACGGCTTGAAAATTATAATACCGCCGACATTAGCATTACGCAAGGTGTTTGACCGATGGCTAAACCTCTTGAATATTCAGGATCATGTCCTAGATAACATTTGTTAAGATCAAGGTCATTAGAAATTGTTTTTTTTATTTTCATCTTTGCACTGAATATTTATTTTTATGTAAAAATGAAAATAAGAGAAACAATTCAATGATCTTGATTTTAATGAATGTTATGTAGGACATGATCTTGAATAACATTTAAGAGGTTATTCATTTCAATCAGGCATCATATTAGAGATGTTAATGAAAAACTATAAATAAATTTACTGCGAAAAATATTACCGAAGCTTCGATAATCTAAAGGCTTAGGGCTCGTATTGTATGAAATACAATAGATCCGATTCGACTCCCGACTGCCGATATAAATCTGACGCTCAACTTTATCAAAAATAAAAATTAATATCGTAGCGCATTTGTATTTCGTTTGTATCTGTTTGTACCGATCATTATTTCGTTTGTACCTCAAACAGTTAAACAAAAAGTGAAAAATAAAAAATGGCCAACGCGCAACTTAAGAATTTTTTAATTTCATTTATAATAATAAATAACAATAAGATTAAGGCTAATGAGAATCAGCGCGGAAATAGATACGCATAAGTATTAATTCATAAAAAATAATTCAAAATAATAAATTATGTGCAGCTTTATTATGACATCTTTGACAGCTTTATTACGACCTATTTGAACCTCTTTTATTTTCATTTGTACTTTAAAGGGCTCGGAGATACAGCTACAGAAAAGTGAAAAATAAAAAATGGTCAGCGCGCAACTTTAAGATTTTTTAATTTTATTTAAATAAAAAAGATACAAACGGATACAAACGATCCTCTTTCGAATACCATTGGTCTCATTTCGATGTCTTTTAAAATAGCTAATTTCCCAATGTGGCAATTGCACAAAAATTAAAAAGCGTTGTATCTCCGAATCCTTTAAGATACAAACGAAAAGAAAAAAGGTATAAACGGATACAAATGATTCTCTTTGAAATGTCATAAAATTTTTTATTTTTCACTTTTTGTTTAACTGTTTGAGATACAAACAAAGTAATGATTGGTATAAACAGGTACAAATGAAATACAAATTTTTATATTATATTAATTTTTACGTTATATTAATTTTTACTTTTGATAAAAGTTGAGCGCCAGGTTCACATCAGTCTCCCGGCCGAAATAATATGTTTCGTAATAAATTTATTTATAGTTTTTCAGCATATTAACATCTTTCTAATATGATGCCTGATTAAACAAATTATTAAAAATTGTTTGTCAATTTAATTTAATTCGGAATATTATTACAGTAGTTTAATTGTCGGACTTATATTTTAATATAATATATTATATTAATAATAATATATTATAAGTACGGAAAATAATTCGACGCGCAGTTCAAATTACTACAAATATATGGATGTACATATATAGTATAGGAGAGAGTAGGGTAAATCGGATCTATTTATAATTTTTGCTCTCTATAAGGCGTAAATAAGGTCCGATTGCAAAATCGAAGATGCCGTTGGAAAGATCATTTTTCCTTTATTTTTTTCTTGAGACCATGTTGACATATCTGTCACCTATGTTGAACTATAATGGAAAATGTAAAAATGCTTTTTCTAGTTCGATTTGGAACTATTGGTTCTATTCTCTGGCCCAAATCAAACACTCCTATTTTTATGAACTTTTAGATAGAATTTTAAAATATTTTAATGCATCTTTGTTAGTAAAATCAATTGAGTAAAAACGAGCAATTTAATAATCGAAGATAAAGATTGTTTTCAGAAAACAAAATTACTGATAGTTTATATTTTTTAATAAAATAAAATTAAAATTAATAAAACTCAATTAATCTCTGAGTCTAATGATTTATGACTGATTTAATTCCTTGGACCAATACTACAACCAAGCCTATACCTACTGTACTGTAAATCGATTTGAACATCTAAAAGGAGATTCGATTTGGACACGGGTCCTTTCGAATTTTGGAACAAATTTTACAATAAATTACAAAAGTGATCACAAAACTCTTGATATTTTTTTAATTCTATACCCTTTAATTATCTTAAATCAATTATATCTTTCAAATTTTTAACACCTTTTAAATAATGATTTATAAGAACTTTCTTTTTTAAAAAAATTTTCACATAATGGCAGAAAATACTATTTGCGTCTATTCTATGAATGTTATAATAAACTATCAAGCTGTTGTCATAAGGATTTTACATTACAAATAGCACACAAATCTGCTTAATTGTATTCATTTAAATTAAAAAGGTTTTATTTGGAAGACGATCCAATTCAGGCCACTCTCCCCTATATATAATTTACAATAAATTATTTAAAGCATTAAAGATCCAGCTTCGATTGTTACAGGCTTTAATATTCTTACTTGTGTATTCACATTACGGTCTCAATAAATCATTAATTATTTTTTTTATAGCTGCAAAGGCGCGTACAGAATCGGATTTGCAAATTAATTCTTGAAAATTTTTTAATAATAAAATTATATCTTAATTGCACTATAGTACACATCGAATGAAGTATCAGAATAAATTTTTATTTTGCCTTTTTTCCAACAAAATTGCTTTTGTAGGAATCTTCAGGAGCCTTTTCTGATTAAACAATAACAACAAAACAAAAAAAACAAATATCGTATAAACGCAATTACGCGTTAAAATGCACAAATATCGTATAAACGCAATTACGCATTAAAACGCAATTCAGTATTAAAAGTTCCAGCATTTTAGCCGTAATTTCAGCATTAAAAAAAATTCGTTTTCAATTAGAGGTGTC